ACACCCTGGACATATTGGCTCACCACTATAGCTACCCCTTAACGTGTCACGACAGGAAGCAGGCCTAATGACTTCCGAAAGTAATCATCATAATCGATTACTGAAAATCAATAACCGTGACTAATGAGGGAGAATACGCACACCCGAAAAATGCCCTCTCCTCTCCAAAAACAATAATAATAATATTGAGAATGAAAGGCTGAAGAACAAACAAATATGCACCCTGCTGACATGGGCCAAACTATCAACCTGAGAGCAGGTGCCACAGGTTCCACACCCTCCCCTTTCCTGTAGAAGAAGAGAAGAAGCAGACAAACAAACAAACAAGCACCAATCTGCAGGTGTTACAGGTGATTCACCCCTTCCAGCTTCCCCACATACCCCCTCACCAAAAGCAATGATAATGGCTATACCTCATGTCTCAACATGTAAGAGGAAGAAGATGAATAGACAAACAAACAAACATGTACACAGCTGCTGACAGAGGTTAAGGTATTGATCCAATAATAGGTGTTACCTCCTACCCCCCCCTCCTTCTCAGGTCGAAAGAGGGTCATTTCCGGCGTGAGTTAGGTCACATAGCTATTCATCGTGTTTAAGCTTGTAGCAAAACAAACTGCACAATAGACCGATGGACAAATTAGCTCCCCTCGCCACCCTCCGCAAGTACTAACTAAAGAGCTAATGCACCCACCAGCATTGGGTTGCCATAGATGTGTGATCAAAGACATGGCTAATGAGCGTGAAATAATCAATAACCATACCTCACCCTGTTCCTCGCCCAAACACTGCGTGGCCACAGGTCATCAAAAGAGGGCAAAGAAATACTCTTAGCTGCTCTCCGGATGCGATAAGGGTTAAGAATATTGATCTTGAGGGGGAGGGGTTGTGCGAGGTAAATGATCATGGGTATTGATCTGATAATTATATTTAGCTTTCCATCGTGTCTGAAACACGTAAATTTAGCTTTAATTGCTAATGCACCCCAATAATAATAATACAATGCGATGAAAAGGATGACAAAAATCGCCATGTACTCAATATACCTTTATTATCATCTTCAAATATACACTAGCACAAACAACTAGACATGCTTAAATCATACTTGGGCCATATGTCCATCCCCCGCGTCAACTAAAAACTAACATCTTCCTCATCGCTCATGACGATGATTACCGAGTTGCCACGAACGTCGCCTCTCCCGGGCGGGGTCGGGCGACATCGATGAGTGCGAGAGGGTGTATTCCGGTAACGAGTATGAAAGTGCAACCACTTCCCATGGCGACGGCGCTGCTATCTCGTCCGAGGTGTAACCAAACAAGAAAAAGAATGCTATATTAACCAACACTGAGTTTTTAAGATGTTGATATTATACAAATATAAGGCATTTGGCAAAATCCAATTCTCACTCCATTTATGCATGCAAAAAAATCACTCGCAAAAAAACATACATGATAACTTTTATCACAAATGCGCAATATAACAAGGGAAGTCCTCACAAGAATAACAGAAATGACTTATCTTCGTGGGCGATTACTACCTTTGAGACCTCCACTCATCTTTTAACAAGTTATAGCAGTCGTTCTTATATTGCCAATGATTCTTCACAATAACTATACAATTCAGCGAAAAGGATCATAAAACTCTTGTTGCAGGCAATGTCTTTATAATGGCTTTCAGCCTTCCAAACGCACATCTTAACAGGCGACAATGCAATATAAGAAAATTTGAATCGAGTTTTAATCGACTTGAATTTAATACGCAAATATAAATGTGGCAACCACCTTCTCGCATATTTGTACATGTCGATGTGTCACATTTGCGAGATAATTATCCCGCCACACAACCGATACGACATTTCAAAACCTGCCCGTTCTCCTATATATACAAGCAAGCTTGCGAAAATTTGTAAAAGTGCGAATTATTTCATAAACTTGCTTGAGGGCATAAATTCAACCAAACTTTACTTCTCGATCTCCCGCAATCGTTTTTCTCACCTGCCCACAAATATGCGGTTAAAGATCGAACTAAGTAACCTCTCCGTCGGCTACTGTAATTAACTTTATCGGGAAACGCTCATCTAGACACCATTTTTAAAAAGTAATGCATAATTACCTTTGATCAAAAAAATCCCTGTACAAAGAGAAACAACTATTTTTACACCGACATTGAATAAAACTTACTGCTCGACCTCTTCAATATTCTCTGATAAACTTAATATTCATACATGTCACATTACGAAACACTGATATGTCTAAACATCCTCGGCTAAGATATAATGGTTCACTAATTAATTCACTAATTGCCATAACAATGAAAACTGTTGAAAGGTTCCTTAGAACAATTTATCTTTTAGAAAAATGTATAAAAGAGGTTTTAAGCAATTGTAATACATTTTTTTACGTTTTAGCCATAGGCTCTGTATCTAAATGAAGACGTTTTAGGATAAAATGATAAAACACGTTTGCCCTTCCTGTCATAGTTTTTATCATTTTACATGTATTACGCACATTTATGCACCATATTTTAAGTAATGCATACATTTTCATCAAGTTACTCGCTAATTGTCGTAGCGACGAAAACCGTTAAAGGCCCCTATAAACCGTTTTCACCATCAAAATAAAAGAGAGAAAAAATGTATAAAAGAAGAAGGTCAAGTAATCGTTCAAATACTATTTGCCGTTTTAGCATCAGGTTCTTTATCAAAGCAAAGGACTTTTATATGATATGAAACAGTTTAAGGATAAAATAACTCTTTTGTCATAGAGCTTTTATAATTTTACGTCTATTGAACATAGATAAATTCGCCTAAAACCGGGATTATCAACCAAGGATAAATTTACTCCAAAGGAGTAGAAAGTGTATATGACAGCCTCAATACAATAGGTCTTAGCAGCTGGCATGCGAATTTCCATTTCTTTTCTTAAACCAAGTCATCAGCAACTATATATTTTCCATAATCAGCATATTACTTGCAAACAAAGGCACTTACTTTTTCTTTCTATGCGTCTGCATTAGACATTCCTGATTTTTACATGGCAGTAAAGGGGTATGCGGCGAGCAACATAGAGACAGGGAGGTAAATTATAGAGGAAAGGTTAAAATTACACACCTAAAAAGAAAAAGTGGCAACCGAAGCAATATCTTCATTACTTTTTCCATTAATGGCAAGTAGAAAACATTCGTTTGGGGAAAAAAAAACGCTTAATGTCATAATAAGGAAGAGAAAAACGTCCTTTTACATAACTCAGAGGAAGAAAAAAAAAAGACTTTACTCAAATCCAAGAACGACTGAAATATATATATATACATATGGGTGGAGCATATTTTTTGCAGGTCATGAAAATACAGGGCAAAACCATTAAAACGTTCTCGCATTGCTGTCGTCTTTAACAGAAGACATGTATATTATCAGTAAAATAAGTTTTGTGCAATTGAATACATTTGTCTTTTCTGTAATAATAATACAAAAAGTCAATTTGCTCATTAATACTACTAATGTCTTATTCCTTTAAAGATGTCCTCCTAAACAGTGATGATGCTTTGTCCAATATACAGATGATGGAAGACCTTACACAGACGGCGGAGAATACCGCGACTCGTCACGAGCTATTGGTCTCACCAGCATACTAGGCGAAAAAAAAACAAACAGAAGTACTCGTCTCGACTCCATTCGTGAAGAATTGCTTGGTTAATGAATATTTCGCCTTTAAATTGCACCCTTTTCAGTCATTTGAGCAAGGTAAAGCCCCATGTTCTAGATAGGCAGAATGACACACCTCTTTGCTGGTCCTCGTAGCACATCCTTCTACACACCTGTTCGTTCCGCTAGTTCACGCAGTCTGTTTCCCCTATCAAACATGCCATACCTTGTTGGTGGATCCTATCCTGGCCCCACCCCCTCGACTATACGAGATGGTCAAGAAAAAAGTAGTGATTTTGATCATAAATGTAGGTATAACATGACTTCACACGGCACTGAATATGTATCTCCAAGACTTGATATGTATTTGGCGATGCGTGTAATCATACGAGTATCGAGCTTGGAGGTCCCTTGTGAATAAAACGCAACGATTTTATAAAACCATAAGACAGTAATATTTCTTGATATTTAAAAATACTAATAACCCATATGGTTGGTTGGAAAGAAGGGCAACAAATTGTCAAAACCATATCTCAGAAACGAATTAGTGTGTGTGTGTGTGTGTTTAAATATATTGGTATCCTAGAGAGGTGAATGAAATACCAAAGGAGATATCCGCCCTATGATAAATATGCTATGATTGCTTTGTCATCTACGAGTCACGGAACATACGCTATTTCCGGTTTCATTTTCAGATCACTTCCAAACGTTTATGTCAGGCTGTAACAAGGCGAGAAACGCATTCAAACAACAGACAGGCACGCACACAAATATATAGTTAGATAAAGAAAGATATGAACTGGATAGATAGAGAGGGAGAGATAATATCAAATAAAAGCGTACTTTCGGCAGCGCATGCAGTCACACGTCAGTGTTTTCCAGTTATTTGCGAGTGAAATAGACAATAAACTCGTAGTTACACAGAGGACAAAATATCCGCTTGCTAAATGGCAGTATATATATGTTTGTATAGATATACGTATGTATGTCTGTATGTATACATAAAAATATATGTGCATGTATATATACGCGTATATATGTATATACACATGAATTGTTGTATGCGTGTTTATAAATTTATATATTTCTTTATATTGATTTATTACAGGTAAGCATATACATCCCTACATATATTCCCATACATACAAGTCAAAAAACATATACACATACGTGTTTTCACACATGTATAGAGGTGGAGGTACATTTTATTTATCTATTATTTTCTTAAATTCCATACACGTGTGAGTGCGTCTTTCGTTGCTTTTTCCAACGAAACCATTTTCTGATGAATTTTTCTTATAAAAACTCATGACTCAACTTTATACAGTAACGCCGCTGTCGATAGAGAAACACGACA